TTCTTTCTTTCTTAAACCGCCTTTTTCCTACTTTATTTTTTCTTTTCTTTTCTTTCTTTCTTAAACCTTTTTTTTTTTTCTTTCTTTTCTTTTCTTTCTTTTTCTTTCTTTCTTTCTTTCTTTCTTTCTTTATTTCTTAAACCGCCTTTTCCTACTTTATATTCTTTCTTTGTTTCTTTCTTAAACAGCCTTTTCCTACTTTATATACTTTCTTTCTTTCTTTCTTTCTTTCTTTCTTTCTTTCTTTCTTAAACCGCCTTTTCCTACTTTATATTCTTTCTTTCTTTCTTTCTTAACCGCCTCTTCCTACTTTGTATTCTTTCTTTCTTTCTTTCTTTCTTTCTTTCTTTCTTTTTCTTTCTTAAACCGCCTTTTCCTACTTTTATATTCTTTCTTTCTTTCTTTTTCCGCCTTTTACTTTCTTACTTTCTTTCTTTCTTTCTTTCTTTCTTTCTTTCTTTCTTTCTTAAACCGCCTTTTCCTACTTTATATTCTTTCTTTCCTTCTTTCTTTCTTTCTTTCTTTCTTTCTTTCTTTCTTTCTGTCTTTATTTCTTTCTTAAACCGCCTTTTCCTACTTTATATTCTTTCTTTCTTTCTTACTTTCTTTCTTTCTTTCTTTCTTTCTTTCTTTCTTTCTTAAACCGCCTTTTCCTACTTTATATACTTTCTTTCTTTCTTTCTTTCTTTCTGTCTTTATTTCTTTCTTAAACCTTTATTTTTCCTACTTTATATTCTTTCTTTTTTCTTTCTTTTCTTTTCTTTCTTTCTTAAACCACCTTTTCCTACTTTATATACTTTCTTTCTTTCTTTCTTAAACCGCCTTTTCTTGCTTTATACTTTCTTTCTTTTCTTTTCTTTCTTTCTTTCTTTCTTTCTTTCTTTCTTAAACCGCCTCTTCCCTCTATTCTTTCTTTTCTTTCTTTCTTTCTTTCTTTCTTTCTTTCTTAAACCGCCTTTTCCTGCTTTATATTCTTTCTTTCTTTCTTTCTTTCTTAAACCGCCTTTTCCCTGCTATATACTTTCTTTTCTTTCTTTCTTTCTTTCTTTCTTTCTTAAACCGCCTTTTCCTACTATATACTTTCTTTCTTTTCTTTCTTTCTTTTCTTTCTTTTCTTTCTTAAACCTTTTCCTACTTTATATTCTTTTTCTGCTTTTCTTTCTTTCTTTCTTTTTTTTCTTTCTTAAACCGCCTCTTCCTATTCTTTTATATACTTTCTTTCTTTCTTTCTTAAACCGCCTTTTTCCTACTTTATATTCTTTCTTTCTTTTTTTCTTTCTTTCTTTCTTTTTTAAACCACCTCTTTTTTCTTTATATTCTTTCTTTCTTTCTTTCTTTCTTTCTTTCTTTCTTTCTTAAACCGCCTCTTCCTACTTTGTATTCATTCATTCTTTCTTTCTTTCTTTCTTTCTTTCTTTTTTCTTTCTTTCTTTCTTTCTTTCTTAAACCGCCTTTTCCTACTCTATATACTTTCTTTCTTTCTTTCTTTGTTCTTTTCTTTTTCTCTTCTTCTTTGACAAAATTCACTTCCAGTGATGTCGCTATATTCAACATTGGTGCATGGCTATATTCCGCCGTTCCTTTTTTTTCCGATTACAGTTACATTTTTGTTCTTTCAAAATATGAAATTTCCAGCCAAATTCCATTAAAATGGAAAGACAGCTTCATCCAGGTCGTCCAATAACGACCTCAAAGTCATTTTAGTTGTCACGATTTTCATTTTCAGGATCCTCCTATTTATTTTATTTACTCCAAAATCTCGTTTTCATTCTCGTCACGCCAGCCCGAGACATGATGGCTCGTGAAATCTTGACCAGCTGGTGAGAGTAATTTGGATTTAAGCTTTCGATTTTGCAAAGGCGGTTTTCGACAGTTCTTTATTGACCTTTGACTTTTATACTCTGACATTTTTCCATTAAAGTTTACTATTCCTGTCATCGGCACAGCAGGAGGAAATTTGACTAAATGTAACGAATTTTGAACTTATTAAAAGGCCTGCTATTGTCAGAGCATTATTTATAAGTTAATATATATATATATATATATATATATATATATATATATATATATATATATATATATATATATAGAAAAAAAACACATAATAAAATCACAGTTCATGGCAATTACTTTTATTTTTTTTTTAAACAGTGCTCAATACAAAGTAGAGAAAAATATTATTATAATATTTTTCTTATAATGAATTACAATACAAAAAATTTACATCGCTACACAACAGCTTTCATGTTTCAATACCATGAATGTACTTCGTCAGGTGATGGTAGGTAACTTGTGATAAAAAATGATTTATTAGGGAAATTTAAAAAGAAATCATAACATTTTTTTGAAGTTTTGGAGGGGGTTGCGCGTAAGGTCAAAATAAAAAAAAGCTATATTTTTATAAATATATATATGTATTTTATAAATAAGGGCCAGCAGTATATACCCTGATTTTATGTCTCGTGTATGATGTGACCCTCTTAAAATTAGCTTCAAAATTGGGTCTTCAATAGTACGGTATGTATATAATATTAAGCATATAAGTGGTCCAAACCTTTCGACGTTGGAGGGGGGGGGCAATTGGGAGCCTCGATCAGTGCTTATCAACATTCATTTTTTTCTACCTACATTTATAGATGTTACAAATTAAACTAAGCAAAAACTGAGTATTAAAAGATGAAAAATTTTCACAGATTTTCACGTCATTTTGGGGTCTTTTTTTCTCTCGTTCAAATCCGTGGATTTATTTTACTTCATGCTAAGTCTCGAAAACGAGGCATGATGGAGTAACGGATGCTGGTTCAGTCGGATTGACGAGAATTGGAAAACCGAGTTCGAATTCAAGTCGAGTTCATTACATTCACATATGCGCCAATTACCCTTGGGGAAAAATATGACTCCATTTCTTCCCACCAGATATGAGTAAAATAGCAGGGCAGACAGGGGCCTATAGCCTTGGTTGACAATTAGAAAAAGTCTGAATTCAAACCATCTGCTGCTTTTTAGGTCTTGCCTCTTTAACATTTAACTCCAAAATCCCTGGTGCAACAAACAAACAAACCGGCAAACTGTTGCACTATTCTACCTGGAATGTCACCATGAACCACAATTGTGAGATATTTTGGTTTTTTTTTTTTTTGTCCAAATGCGCTGACTGAATAAAATGAATGAAAGTTTCAAAAAACGCTATACAAAATTTACTATTTTTTATCCATAATGTTAAATGTGTTAAAATTCTTCAACTTTTTAACAAGGAAAATTTAAAGTTGATGTTAAAAATTGCTGCAAAACTTTCTTGATTTATTTAAAACGAAATAATTTATTATGACAGGTCTTTAATTTTTATTTAGATACCCTGGATTTATTTTCAATTTTTCTAGTTGAATTGTTCACCTATATTACATAAGATCCATTATTGTACATTATTAGGTTACAATAGAATTTGTATTTTATATGACTACAACCTTATGAAAAAGGAGACGCATTAGAATGGTGGGGGTCTGTGTCATAGATTTAGGGGTGGGGCACAAGACCCTTACATTTGCCTCTGTTCTGGACCAATGAGAATCAATTGTAGATTGTGTATAAAAAAGCGTAGTATTTTCTATCTTTTTTTTATCTCTCCCAGACATCTTCGTCGACTCCACAGACAAAACCCATTTCACAATTTCCAGGCACAAATTTGAACACAAACCAAAATATGGGAATTTCTTTTTTCATTTTATTTATTCAACCTTGTAACAAGAAAAATGTCAAGTTCATGTTAAAAAATGCCGCAAAGCATTGTTGATTTATTTAAGATGGAATGATTTTTTTTATGACAGGTCTCTAACTTTATTTAGATACATTGGATTTATTTTCAATTTTCACCATGATTTTTCACCTATATTACATATAATCCTATTTTCTTGATTTGTTGATACTTTAAAACACAGTAGAGGAAATACTACTTACCAAATGGCGTAATAAAAAAGCTAATTTAATAAAATAATTAACAATACTCATATTTGTTTGCCGAGAAAAAAAGTTTTCTAAAATCTGAATTTATCTCCCTGCTTCGGTGATCAAAACTCGTTTCTGTGTCGTTTTTTATTATTTCAAATGCTGTTAAAATGGATTCCAGTCTCCCATGTTTAAAAAAGAAATTTAACAAAGCAAATATTTAAAAGTATTTTTAAAATCTTTTAATGAAGGCCTACCAGACTAATCAAATGTCAAGACAAAGTTACAAAAAGTCTTGGAAAAAATATGATTTAAAATTCACTATTTTTTTTATCCATAATGTTAAATGTGTTAAAATTCTTCAACATTTTAACAAGAAAAATCTCTAGTCGATTTTAAAAATTGCCGCAAAACTTTCTTGATTTATTTAAGATGGAATGATCTATTATGACTGGTCTCTAATTTGTATTTAGATAGATTGGATTTATTTTCAATTTTTCTAGTTGAATTGTTCACCTATATTACATATGATCCATTGTACATTATTAGGTGACAATAAAATTTGTATTTTATATGAATTCTACCTTATGAAAATTGAAATATAGCAGTGAGGGCCCCGCTTATCATAAGATCGAGTCGAGGGCTACGGGACCCTTGCATTGGCCCTGTAATTTACTCACTGACAAATCCAGGGCGTACTATAGACAGGACATGTTAAGAAATGTGTAAGTTTTAAAGAAAAATAGGAACACCAAAGAAACTTATGTCTTACATGTGTTGTAAGTAGTCTCACCAAGCTGGCATCAAGAATGAAATAGACTTTCTATCTATAGAACAAAAAATTCTCTTAATGAATAAATAAAAATGAAAGAAAAATTTGTTTCAGCTGCTCTCAGTCAAGTTTTTCTGTTACGTGGAGGGAAATGTTTCCAAGTGTATTTCATATCGTTTCTTAACAAACATCATATTAGACACAGTGAATGCGTTGGACCGAATACCAAAACTGACGGATTTGCCAAGAACACAAATAGAATCAGACTGAGATTAATATAAACAGACTAGACTGAAACGAAAGCAAGAGAATTGAAATAGATATATAAATTGAATGAATAATGAATGTAGACAGAATAGATGAATCTAGATATGAACAGAATGGGATAGAATGAGATAGATGAATGAATGATAGATGAATGAATGAATAGATATATGAACAGAATGGGATAAATGATAGATAGATAGATAGATAGATAGATAGATAGATATGAACAGAATGGGATGAATAGATAGATAAATTGATGAATAGATAGATGATAGATGAATGATATATAGATATGAACAGAATGGGATAGATAGATAGATGATAGATGAATAGATAGATAGATAGATAGATGAATATGAACAGAATGGGATGGATAGATGAATAGATAGATAGATGAATGGATAGATGAATGAATGAATATGAACAGAATGGGATAGATAGATGAATAGATAGATAGATAGATAGATATGAACAGAATGGGATAGATAGATAGATAGATAGATAGATAGAATGAATGAATGGATAGAATGGGATAGATAGATGAATGAAGAATAGATAGATAGATATGAACTTCTTAAATAGAGTTATGGACAGAAAGATAAACATATAAAAGAATAGATAGATAGATATGAACATTGAGATAGATGAATGAATAGATGAATGGGATAGATAGATAGATAGATATGAACAGAAATGGGATAGATAGATAGATAGATAGATAGATGGATAGATAGATGAATAGATAGATAGATAGATATGAACAGAATGGGATAGATATATAGATAGATGATAGATAGATAGATAGATAGATAGATAGATGATATATATGAACAGAATGGGATAGATAGATATGATAGATGGATAGAATGAAATGATATATAGATTTGAACAGAATGGGATAAATGGATATATAATAGATGAATGAATAGATGAACAATGAATATATATATATATGAACAGAATGGGATAAATAGATAGATAGATGAAGAAATGAATAGATAGATAGATAGATATGAACAGAATGGGATAAATAGATAGATAGATACTGATGATAGATGGATAGATAGATAGATAGATAGATATGAACAGAATGGGATAGATGATAGATAGATAGATGATAGATAGATAGATAGATAGATAGAACAGAATGGGATAGATAGATAGATAGATAGAGATAGATAGATAGAGAATGGGACAGATGATAGATAGATAGATAGATAGATAGATAGATAGATGAATGAATAGAGATATGAACAGAATGGGATACATAGATAGAGAGATAGATAGATAGATAGATATGAACTTCTTAAATAGAGAGTTATGGACAGAAAGATAAACATATAAAAAGAATTAGATAGATAGATAGATAGATAGATAGATAGATAGATATGAACAGAATGGGATAGATAGATAGAGAGATAGATATAGACAGAAACAGAAAGATATGAATAGACTGAAATTGATAGATAGATAGATAGGAACAGACTGAGATAAATAGGTATATGAATAGATAAAGCGATCTAAATATATATATATATATATATATATATATGAGAGAGACAATTTTTATAGATAGATAATGATCCGTCTGAGATAGATAGATATGAATAAATTGATATATATATATATATATATATATATATATATATATATATATATATATATATATATATATGCACATTTATTGAAAACGACAGACAAGGTGCTTTGATTTAATTTTTATACAATTTCTCATGCGATGTAATAATTTTTGTCTTTTCGGATGATAAATTATATAAAACTGTCCGATATTCTTTTTTATCGAGCGCTTTCGGTTATACATTCAGCCATTTTCAAGGATTAAATATTTTTAACTGCTAAATAAGAAATAGTTTGTTGTGTGTATGTTTTATAAAATGTTTCCATTTTTCAAAACACAACAATAAAAAACAAACAAACCAACACTTAATAATATTAACTTTGAACATGGACATAATATCTTGATTGTGTATAAAACATACATACAACAATCTATTTCTTATTTTAACAGTTAAAATATAATCCTTGAAAATGGCTAAATGTATAGCCGAAAGCGCTCGGTTAAAAAAAAAAACAAAACACATTCGGACAGTTTTTACATTTGTGCTGTGTCAATTCAGGACGTGCCCGATCGTGGTTCTCCACAACTTCCCGTCTTTTGTAGCTCTTGGCTCTCTTTGTCTTTTTAATACTTCTAGTTCTTGTTCTGTGAACTATTTATACAATCCGCGTCCTAGGTAAGACGATAAACTACGTCCAACAGCAAGGCCTCTGATCAGGAGGTTTTGAGAAGTGTGGAACCACCACTTAAATGTTTCATTGCATTGTTTCTTTCCATATACGAGGGTGGGCTGAAAAGTCCATAGGCTGACTATTAAGGAGTGATGCTAGAACTGTGAAATCTTCCATGTATTCATTTCAACTCTTCCTATTAATAACTGCATTGTTTCTTTCCATGTACGAGGGTGGACTGAAAAGTTCATAGGCTGACTTTGAAGGAGTGATGATAAAACAGGAATTAATTTAAGCGCTTCTTATTCATCTAAACACTTGTAACAATAATAAATCTTATATTTGACCACGATCCGTTCGTTCGTTTTCTGAGTGAAAGTACACGCAGCCCGACCCAGCGATTGAACTTACAATCACTATGTCACCAACTCCACAAGGCAACGCTTTAACTCACTAGGTCATTGTCATGAAGAACTATTTGATGTCGTGAACTTGGAGCCTTAAACCTAACCTTCCTGCTCAGAGTTGCAACTTCTGCTACCGCTTTCTTGTTTTGATTGCTTCTGTGGTTGAAAAAAGACAGGAAGTTGTGAAGAGCCATAATTGCTGAAATCATAGGGCTTCAGACAAAGCGGATCTCAAAAATATGAATACTGCTTTGTGTCAGATAGACTTAATTCCTTTAAAATCAACACTGATTTTCTTCTTGAGTGCTCAGGAGATGTGGCCTTAAGCTATACGTATCTTTATGGAAGTTTTAAAAATATTTGTACTCAGTTTATAGGAAGCAGACTCGTAATGAACAATGTGGCTCCTTGCAGGGATCGTCTAAAGTACGTACCGCCACTAATTCGCTGAAAAAAGAGTATACTATCACGAAAAAATATCTAGAACCTGATAAAAGCAAAGTTTTGTGTCAAAATGTTTATTAAGAGGAAAGACCAAATAATTATGATTTTTTTTAATCGTTTTTGGAAACGTCAAAATTTTTGTAAGAAATCTTATTTTTCTTGCATCAATGTTTGATAAATCAGCATCGCAAATTTTAGCGGTTGTTTTTCGATGACTAACATAGAGATTCGGATCACTGCTTTTGTTCTTCCTTGGTGCACACTGTTAGCGGAGCGGTCATGTTTACACTGTAACAGCGTTTGAGTGGAAAAAGCTGCACCCTGAAAACTAATCAATGGTCTTGTATGAGATGCAATGCTACAGGGACAAAATGCTTGAGGGAGAGTTCTTATTCTTGAAACAAAGAGCAATGATCCAATTTTTTTGGTCGGAAAGTGTGTCAGGACCTGAGATTCGTCGGAGGCATTTAATACAATACGGTGACAGTGCACTACTTTATTGAAGTGTATATGAGTGGATCGAGAAGTTTAAAAGTTATCGGACAAGGGTGACGCACAAAGAAGAAGCAGAACGCGCCCGTCAACCCCCACCACTGACGAGAAGATTCGGCAAGCTCGAAAGATGGTAATAGCGAACCGGCGAGTTATCATCGATAAGGTAACATGTTCTCCGCAGATTCAGATCACTGCTCTTTGTTCCTCCTTGGTGCACACTATTAGCGGAGCGGTCATGTTTGCACTGTAACAGCAACAAGAAAACTGGCACGATCAAGCTCAAACTTCGATCACGTGACCACAATAGTACCAACAGTAAGCACGTGACAGCAGAAGGCATGGAACTAACCTCGAGACATGTCATGGTTAAAGTACGAATAATTTTTGAATTACTATCGTATTTAAGGGAAGGTTAGTTAAGATGATACGTTCGTTCTTATAATTGTTCCCCGAAAAGGATGTTACGGATGACTCATAATAATATTATCCACTATATTAACCTATTATCACATCTTATCTTCTTAAAGGGCTCACGTATACAGCGGTTATTATAATGTTACAATTGGTTAATGTCTCTTTGAAGAAACTTTCTATTGTCCATTTTTGCGATAAAAATGTCGAAAGAAAAGTCATTCAAAATGAGATTTTGGTACACCTAAAATGGTCACATCTTTTTAACTCATTTTATGTTCAAACCCCAAATCAGGAGTTGATGTGGTTTTCCCTTAGCCCAGTGGTTTTCAACCATTTTTACTTCATAGTGCACTTGCAGAATAACTGCAACTCTGAGGTGCACTTTAGATTTTAATAAAGAAAAAAAAATAGTCATAAAATAATAAAGTTCTCCTGAAATAAACATTTTTTAAGACATTGCATATTTAAGCAGCCTTGTGCGAAACATGTGCTTTGGCAATAGTTAAAGGCCTTATAGCGATTTTCCAAGCGTAGGTCAGATGTGGAACAAGACAGAAAATATAGGGCACTGAGTAAGGATCGAACTCACTACTCAGGCGTAATTGTTTTAGCGAGACAAGATTGCTAACCATCACACCACCTAGAGTTGCCCTGTGATTTTCCAAGCGTAGCTTAGATGTGGCACAAGGCCGGGATTATGGGACACCTAGTGAGAATCGAACTCAGTCGTAATTGTTCTAGCGAGACAAGCTTACTAACCATTACACCACCTCGAGGTGCCCTAGTTGAAGGCCTTATATGTGATAAACATACTCTCATTTCCTTATCAATGCATTTAATATTTGAACAATTTTTGCATTTAATGTTGGTAAGTATAGAAAATGGTATTTCACAGAGGTATGATATAGAAAATTACAATGCAATATTCAATAATTTAATGGCTATTGAAAGGTATTCAAAATCAATGGAAATTTGATCAATTGATACCTCTTTATCTTACTTCTTATAAAATGCAGATTGTGTGTGTGTGTCTGTACGTTTATATATTGGATCGGATTTCCTACATTTTTCAACCGATTTCAACAAAACTTCACAGGACTACGTAAAATTACATTGCGGTGGTTCTGACAGCGCCAAAATTTGGAAAAACACAATTGTTTTTGCACGAAATCAATTTGAAAACACATTTAGAGGCATTAATGAAAGGGGGACAACTCATATCGAGTTATACATATTAATATCGAGTTATCGAGTTATACTTATAAACACACACACACACACACACACAACCAACCTGGGTTTTATAACCCAGGTTGGTTGTGTGTGTGTGTGTGTTTATATATGGGATCGGATTTCCTACTTCACTTTTTTGGCAGGTAGTGTTTCTTATTGTCTTGCACACTTTTTTCTTTATTTTTACATTCAGAATGCTTTAAAAATTCCATTTACAAGACAATTGTTTATAATAAAATTCTATTCAATCGGTAGAGACTCATAACTCTTTTGGGTCCTGTCACTGGATCTAACTAACGCCTTTATCCACTGCGCCATGTGTCCTTGAGGACACATGGCGCAGTGGATATTGAGACATGGTACAGTGGATAAAGGAGTTCAATACCCGGTTAAGGCAGTGGAGAACTTTCAGAGGAAAATTAACAGGAGATAACTGATAACTGACATCCATCAAACATGGCAGGTGGAACTAGGACAGTCTACCACAACGAGCGAAATAAAGGGTTCAGTTCGACATTACAACTACCTGAAGAAGGCCGGAGCGTACAACGGCCGAAACGTTGTAATAAATATGGCGACAAAGCTAATTTTTTGAAAAAAAAAGACCAATTTACGATCATAGCTGGTCGCAAAATTTAGTTAATAAAGATCGTAAAAACCCATCAATTTTCAGGGAGGCCGAGCAATTTATGTCAGCCAACTGAAGTAAACTATTTTTATTAAAAAAAGTGTTTTTGAGTCAACAATTTTAAAACAGATGTACCGAATTTTTCCAGTTTATCGCCAAAATCCAAATAACTGATAAGCTTTAGCAGGAATACACTTTAGTAAATTTGATAATTAAAATGACATCGAAAAAATAAAACCCTAAATTCTTCTGTTTGATATTCATAAATTAATCCTGTCAATTTTATCCCTTCATTACGGAAGGAAACCAAGCACATTGAGAGGATTTTGTTTTCACAGTTGGAAAGAAACTCCAACAAAAGACATCCCAATTAAATGCATCTATTCCATTGTACATTGTTGTTCATAAGCGCAGTGGAAGCGTGCTGGGCTCATAACCAATGCTGTTCATTATGACGGCCGTCTTCGAGTATAGAATCCAGAGGTTAGCAGTGAATATTTCGAAGACTGTAGGAAAGCGTATTTCAGGTTAGCAGTGGATATTTTAGTAAAAGTAGCAGAGCGTAGTTCGTCCTTCTGTTATCTCTTCGCCTGACAAGTTGGCACTGGTCATTCGGGTAGAGTAGACAAAATGACTACCTTTATACACGACGGATTGAATGTTCTACGAAAGGTTAACCAATCAGAAGATTGGTTAACCTTCCATTGGTGGACTATAAAGTGAGTCAAGTCATTTAGTCTGGCTCACTAGTACATAATATATACAAAAAAACTGCAACATACATGATACTGCTGGAGTATCAAAACGGACTTAAATAACATTGAATATGTCAATCAAGAAAGAGAAAATTTTTACCATAGTTCTTATGTTCATGAAGGTTTTATTTCTGCTGTTAGTTTATTAAATGATTTCATGAAAATACTTTTTGGTTTTGGTATATTCAATCGTGTTATTTTTAAAGATTAAGAGTCTGATTGTTATTGCAAAAATAGTATTTCTCAATAAGCAGATCAATATTTGTTGGTTGAAATACAAATTGAGAAGTTTCTACGATTTTATTTGGGGAAATATTGCCATCGGTCAATAGCATATATACAGAAAAATGCTTTATTTATCCAAATAGGAGGCATTTCTGTACAGCAAAAACAGTACCTAACCAAGGAAAAAGTAAGGTCATTTGCAGATTTAGCCCTTAAATTAGCTAAAAAAGATTTTTTTTTATTGACCAATGTTATTTATTTTCGGGTTCTCAGAATGTATCTTATCTGTTCTTTTATGTACGATGTCCTTTCAGGATCACAGCTCTCCACAATTTCATATCCTTTGTAGTATTTAGTAATTTTTGTTCTTTTCCCCATTTTTCTTAATCTCTGTTCTGCCACATTTACAAAGAAGCTCTATCGTTCGTTCGTACTTCTTCTTCTTCGTCTTTACTACGTGCCGTGTTCCTTGCGAACGTGGACGATCATGGCTCTCCACACTTTCCTATCCTTTGTAGCTCTTATTAATTTTTTCTTTTCGCTATCACTTCTCATCCCTTTTCAACGGACCGTTTATATAAGTTAATTTCATCACACGTTTATTTGTTTTTGTTGTTGTTGTCCTTCTTGTTCGCACTGTTTTCCTTACGAACGTGGACGATCATGGCTCTCCACAATTTCCTGCCCTTTTTAGCTCTTAGTAAATTTGGGCATCGCTATCTGTCCTAATCATTGTTCTGCCAACTATTTAGACAAGCTCATTCTTCTTCTGCTACAACTACCTGCCGTGTCCCTTCAGGACATGGGCGATGATTTCTCTCCACAACTTCCTTTACTTTTTAGCTCTTAGTAAATTTTGTCTTTTCGTTATCACTCCCCATCCCCGTTCTACGAACCGTTTATATAAGTTCGTTCGATTATTACGAACGAGGACGATCATGGCTCTCCACAATTTCCTGCCATTTGTAGCTCTTATTAAATTTGGTCATGGCTATGCCTCTAATCATTGTTCTGCCAACTATTTAGACAAGCTCGTTTTTCTTCTTTTTCTTCTTCTACCTCCCGTGTCCCTTCAGGACATGGGCGATGATTGTTCTCCACAACTTCCCCTCTTTTGTAGTTCTGAGTAAATTTTGCATTTTCGCTATCTCTGCTACTCTCCAAAATTTTTTTTTCTCATTTTCTATAAAGGGACCACTAAATTTAAATAGTACCTCTTATTTAGCATTAATTTCAATTTTGCACCGCTTGTAACATTTCTAATTTATTACGAAATAGAGTTTTTTTTTATTTTTTTATTTTATGAGATTTTATATTTTTTGCCGTAAGTCACTGAGGTCGTCAAACGATGATGTCGTTAAACGAGTATGTCGTTAAGTGAGGAATGTCTGCAAATCATTTTTTTCAACACTTCCTCGAAAAACATGGCTTCTTTCCCACCTTTTCTGCTAAGTTTTTTTTTTCCTTTCTTCCCAGCAAATATTCATTTTCTCGATTGCTTCCTTTCTTATGACTCAACTTCTGCGTTAATTTACCTCTTTTTCTGCGTTCCGAGAAGCCACCCCGCACCTTCTATCTTCCCCACCTATCCCCCCAAAAAAAAACTGTTTTCTCTCTTGCAATCTCCTCCGACATGTCCCAACTTTCCTCCCAAACCGTCATGTTTACCCAAGGATGAAATTTTGGCAAAGGGTTCTGCCAATTCTAATCACAAGAAGAGACGCTTCCACGTCTTATACGTGCATGAAACAAAACACAGTGAGACGCTTGGGGTCTGAAGCCGGGGGTACGGGGTTGGAGCAAGGGTATCAGCTGGGTATTTAGCATCTGGAGAGGGTGGAAGGAGGTGGGCGCTAACCAAGTGCTCGTGCTGGTAGGGATAGCGGTCGGTGTTTGGCCCGTTCGTTCATTTGGTTTTTTGGACTCTTACCAATCGACAACTGTCAGACAAGTGAAAATACTTTTTTTTTACACACACACACATATATATATATATATATATATATTTATGTCGGGTGTAACAGCAAAATTGTCTAATTGTTAGATTAAGCTCTGAAATATTATATTTAAGAAATGATTAATGATATATTACTGGAATTCCCCAAGGTTTTCTTATAAGACTATTAGACTCTACTTTGGGCAATAAGAATGTATAATTACTCTCAAAGCTTAACAAAAGAATTCTAATGAAATTGATCATAAACGAAAATGGCATGTTCATCATTAATTAATCGTAGCCTACCTCATGAAGGATTGATATAAAGTTCATATATATATATATTTATTGATATAAAGTTCATATATATATAATTCCAGGATCATTTTCAAATTTATTCAAGATGATCT